TATATAATGGTATATATAAAAGCAACTAAACGGAAATAACAAAACAGTAAGGATAACTGTGAAGTTATGAACAAAAAGTAAAAGAGAAAATTCCAAACATAATTTTCTAAATTGATCGCTTAAACATTTTGTATAATGCAAAGCAGTTCAAGATTGATTATTCGTAACCTAATCTAATTCAAAACTTATCGACACCAGGTTTAAAGTATGCCTTTAAGACATCATTGTCGCAAGAACAATCCACTATAAAAAGTCTTATATTTAATTAATTTGTCTGAATTGCATAGCTAAATTGGAATTAATTTTTTGACCGTCAAACTCACAAATTAAAATTATATGAATTCCTCAACGGACAAAATGAGAATTTTAATTCCCACATTTCATTTGTTCAAAATTTCCTTCAGAGTAAAATTTGGTCTCAATATGGGTTTTAATGAAAGATTTGGAAAAAGCGAGAAGAAATCAACAGATTAAAAAGTGATAAGCTCACATTCCCTTAGCCGATTTACCGTTGCTGCGAATACTCATGCTGCTACGACCGCAAGTTTTGCTCAAAACACGATCACCACCACCGTTGTTAGCCAGCATAATTACAACAACTGCCAATATTCTTTGCTGCGTGATGTATTAAAAGGGCCTGCCTGAGTGTATGTGTATTATTTTAAGTTCAATTCTCCCCTTGTTTTTCTTCAGCCACGGGACGAAGTCTTTTCTCGCTTGGCATTATCTTTTTCTGAAACCTGTCACCCTTTCCCACGCCGCACCATCGGATTTTCAACTTCTCCAATCCCAAAATTTTTAACAGAATCGAATTAAGCACTACCTTTTTTCGATTGCTGAGGTCGATGCCAGAATGATAATATGCAGAACAAAATGACAATATAAATATCTCAAGAAATTCAAGCAAATCAAGAAGCAACGACGTGAATGGATGAAGAGAAGTTTGATTGGGAGGTAATACACAACTACCTCTGGGGCTGGAACACATGACAGCACTAACACTCTACCTCGAACATATGTTGCGATGAAGATCAAACAATCATATTTAGAGTGAAATTTCTGAAAAATGTCACATCCAAATGGTGCAAATTCATCGTTTGAAGATGAAAAATGATTCCAATTTTACAAACCTTTCCGCTTATAATGCAATATCTATTTTAACAGCAAAATTTCATTAAAAATCAAAAAACCGCACTGATGACATCAAAGGAAACAGATCCCAGCTATCAACTATAATTCCATCAAAAAAAGAGAATAAACAATGGCAATAACAATGTAAGGGAACAAAAGCAACGATATACATTTCTTTGAAAGAAATTTATTATTCAAGTACATTTCTTTAGAGATAGTTTATAAAAGTTTCAGAAAACGTTAAGAATAATGTTACCCGAATGGTCCGCTAATTCCGCACAATAAATCCCTTAATGGTCGTGTGACGGTAAGACAGGAACAACAAACACATGACGTCAATTTTGAATCGCAACCTTGAATCCTTCGGTCTAGGTCAGACGCTTGATGTTCAAATGAAATATTTTCACAAAAAATCAAAACTTGGTCATCATCTGACCGGAGCGACATAAAGGTAACAACGGTGAAATAATTAACTCAGAATACGACATTTAGCAACACGCATCACGTGTTAAGCGTACCATTAACTGATTCACTTCTCAAATTTAAGTTCATAAAATCGTGTTTTGCACACCTACTAAAGTTCAGAAAATTTGATGGAAATTGAATGGTACACGCATTTGTGCCAACAAAGGGACGTATGCTACATTGATTCAAGCAAACAACTGAAATGCTGTCTTCTTAGATGAAGTAGATGCAAAGACCCAAATAAGCTTATGCTGGATTTGCGACATGCTGCATTTGCTAAAATATCTAAAGATTTTAAAGTTCAACAAGAAATACGACAAGTGCATGAAGAAATTAAATTCAAATTTCATCCAATGTATACTTTGATCTCTATCGAGCACGATAAAGACTACAGACAAATCATGCTGGTTTGCAGGAATCAACGTTCACAAATAAGGACAAAAACTAAAAATTTTAAATCGGAATCCTAAAAATCAAAAAATTCAAGACCATTAATTAAGGAAAAGACAGATGAAAAGTGAATAACAACCACAGAGAAACTTATTTGAGATCAGAAACGTCAATCTGTGGATGTTTTCCTTTTTTCATGTATTCATCGAGTTCCTTATCCAATTCTTCCTTTGTTATGACTGACCGCTTAGCGCGGCTAAAATTACTATTGGATAAATTACCAATAAAACGACCATGAAAAGCACGATTCCGTGGCAATATAGTGTTTGAACGCCAAAGTATGCGGCTGAAACCATTTCGTGTAAAGCGCGTGTTTCTGCTCGCATATCGCAACGAACCAAAAGGACGAGGCCTAAAATTAACCTGTATAATGCATAAAAATAAAACAACTTGTTAGAATAAGCATAAACAGTTCATTCAGAGTTTGCGCAACTGCACACACACACACACACACACACACACACACATATGCAACACACATTTTCCACTACAGTATATATAATGACTCTCGAAAATTGCCTAAAATTCTGATTAAAACGTTTAAACCCGTTCACTCATTATCTGATATTTCAATCTCCTGGCTGATCAGCAATAATGTTTTCTCAATTAGTTGTCCCATTTAACCGTCGCACTGTCACTTCAATTTTGGTTATTAAATTATGAAGTTAATATACCTGTCAATGTTAACCTTGCGCACGAAACCATAATTAAATCTACTGTGCCAATGCGGAAAACTGATACGATTACGAACTGGAATACGAGCAAAACGAGGACTTTGGTAAATTCCCAACTTGTGTTTTGGGATAATACGGACTTGTTCGACATAATTTGCCGTCGCTTCTATACTATCTTCCTCAATTGCATCATATTCATTTGGTAACTGAAATACTGCCTTCTATTAAAAAAATCTGAAAAAAGTTTATGTTAAACTATTAAGTAAGAATGATAGTTGAAATCTGATTAAGGATCATTATAGTAGTCCAGCAAGATCTGGGAACAAAAAACATGATTATGGTGACATTAAAACTTACAACACAGGTAGCATTGGAACTTTGTAAGCTTCAAATAAACTAGAGAGAAAGGTAATCTTTTCCTTCTCAACCTAAAAAACCTGCGAAAGTTCAGAAGGAATGAATCAGCATTAAAATTGGAAACCTTTATTTGAAAGTAAGACTTCTTATAACGTTGAAAGATACTTGAATTCAACCCATCTCCAACATATTATCTTTATCTTACACGTAAGAAAATTATTTAATCTGTTCGGAAATATGTTTATTGTGACAAAAAACATTCACTTACTTCGATATCACCGATATACAACGGACGCCTACTTATAAGCGGTTCACGATAGCTGTGTTCAGTATTACCACCGTTGTAACTTCTTATTGGAGTAACGCTGTGTCGTAATTTAGGTGCCGGAATTTGGGAAAACCTGTATGTCAGCAAGTAACGATTACTCGGATGCTCAATATAAGAGAGTTCACTTCCATAATTAAAAGAACTACGTATGGTTAAGCGTTTATACCAACTTCTTCCCACCTACTATAAAATGAAAATGCATGAATAACCTTTATTCAAAAAATCAGATTCATGAACCCATGGATTATTATTACAATAACGTGCTTTAAATTATTATTATTATGGATCTAATTAATCTATTACTTCCAATAACATTTAGATCTATAACAGAAATTGTTTACAAAATAATCTTTTATTTCCAAGCAATACCATTGTCAAAAATTTTCATATGCTTTATTTCACTTGGGTGATGCTCAAAGGATGAAAGTGATTCAGGGACTTGAAGGATTTTATAAAATAAAAACGACAAATTGACCTTTCATTTAAGGATATTTTTGAAGTTCCCATGAGAACTATTCGAGATGGTACTGCTGCTGCTTCCATTATCAATATCTTTAATCGGACTGAGCATACGTTCCAGCGTAATACCTGATAAATTAAATTCAATCGAATTAATGAACAACAAAAGAAGTGATTCAGTAACATAATTCACGAAAACCAGCAAGTTATAAAACTTCAATACAAAAACATGTATGAAACTACGTTAATCAATATGACAGTGACCCAATCAATTGAGAAATAATTAGATTTCTTTTCTGCGAGGAATTAAATGATTCCCTCCATTAAACTACTAAGTAACCTTATACCAAATTTTGAATAATTGCTTTCAATTTTACGGAAAGAAAAAATGCAATTCATAACTCTCGTCTTTCCTATAAAGGTAAAACATACGATCTTGCAATTGATTACGCCAAAATTTCCCACCCAGCTGTCTTCCTTCCCCGCCCAATATTACCAAAAGCCTATCCTTACCACCAGCAATTCCGAACAACAGAAAATACAAACGAAAAGGCAATAACGCGACAAACCATCATTCAGCCACGCCACTAATTAACGCAGCCCTCGAGGTGCTGCGTTGTATCCGAACACTTTGGATAATTGAGATCAGGATTGTTTGGGGATCTTTGCTCAACTATTGAGTTTTAGTTGTAGGACAGCGATGTTCATTAGGCGGTTGAGGAGTTAGCCATCAGTATGAGTCTCACGATAACTCTGTTTCACAATTGTTCGTACCATTGATAAGGAATTCTGATTCATCCAAACATAGATATCAAATGAGTGTGGAACATATCGGAAATCGAAATGCTTTCATAAAAGATAGGCTCTCCACGTAGCTGCAATCCCTGTCTTTCTATTTATTTATTTATTTAAAAGCTGACTTTTGCTTTAGATGGAGCGATATCATAGCCATCTGTTGTGAAATTTCGGAAACAATCTGTATATATATGTTATGTATTCATAAACGCATATGCTCCTCATCCATTTTCTGTGTTGCTTTTATCACTGTCACTTTATAATTCATTCCTCAAATTCGAAAAAATCTACAAAGTGTTTTAACCCAGAGTTCTTTAAACGAGCACATGCTCGTTTAAAGACACTTTATAATTCATTCCTCAAAAATTTATAATTCATTCCTTTATCAGTAATACATTATTTAGCAATGTTTGAAATGAATGTCGTGGATGGCATTAATTAATGTGAATAATGAAACATAAGAAATGGTGGGGTTTGGAAAAAAGGGCAGTCCCTTTTTCTGGAACTGAATGCATCATCACTTAGTCATTGTTATGATCGGCAAGCGGTCATCTGGGCGGTGTCAGTCGTTCATTGGTCTTACTACTCTTTCAGAGAAAGTTGTTAGTGCGAGAACCTCAGTTCATCCGTACCCATTTCACAGACAAGGTCAGTTTGAACGTCTCTTTCTCTCCTCCTTTATATTCAATCTTTTTCTGTTTTTCTGTCTGATGTCCACTTTCCCGTGTCACCAATAATAAAAGATGGAGCTGTGTCCATTGATTACTCTTTCCTCCATTACCATCTACAGAAGGGGCCTTTCCGTTATTGCTGCTACTACGCATTGCTATTATTAATGCATTGCCCTCATTAAGATGTATGTTTTCTTGGTCAGTCTTCATTTTTGCAAAGCGTGACCTTTGGCTATCCTAAATGATCAATGCATTTCCTCCACTTTTCGTTTCATTTTCCATCAATTGCAGATACATCTTCCTCCTTTTATTCAGAATTTCTTTGGACTTAGTGAGGTCTTTAAATTTAGCTCCTTCACAACTTAAGCAGTTTTTTTAATGAGATGTTGGCAAAAAACTGTCATTTTGTATCAGGATCTCGCTGTAAATTAATCTGAAGTAGAAGTCAATTTTTCACCTCTTTAAGAACAAAAAATGATCTTGTTTACAATGCTAATAATATTACGGTAATTTGTAGTTTGATGTAATTTCTTGGTGTTAAAAGCGGTCAGAAATCTAGAAATTAGAATATTCTAACTTGATACTGTTCTTACTGATTCCTTTTGACTTGATACTTATTCTGATTGTAAAAATCGTGAAATAATTTATAGAAAATCGTGAAATAAGTTCCACGGATTTGAATTTACTCTCATCGATTTGCTTTTACATGCTGAAAAACGAATGTTAACCTTTGTTTAATTATGAATTAGTCATTTGCTTAATGTGGTTTTCGCCAATCAAATTTTCGAATCTCTCAACATCCTCGAGATAAGGTTCAACAATACAATTCTTATCCTTGTTTTCTTTTCGTCTCTCAACTTTCCTATCAGTGTTATCTTTAATTAGCTTAGCGAGCATTAATTGGAAGCAGTCAATTAAATTACGAGCTTGATTGAAATTCGAGCCATTACAACAATAGCACTCAAAGAGTGAATTGTTGTTTCTTACAATGTCCGAAGAACCAATCAATAACGAAAGTCAATTAGCGCTGACCGCAGAACCATTCATTGACTCATTCATCATATTAATCACTGATGACAGGAGACTCAACTAATATTTCCTGTAACTGTTCAGCATGACAATTGTTCATTCATGATTGTTGACCTCGTAATATGGGTTTTTTTCAAGCGGATTAATCTCGTATTTTCATTGATTGAATGATTTATTTTTTTAATTTTTTTTGTAAATGGATGAATTGCGTTTCTATATTGAACAAAATTTTTTTGAAAATATTTCATTATTTTCATAAACGTAAACAATAGATTTCTAAATATTTTTAATTTCAGTTAATTAAAATGATGATGAAAAATTGAGTCTGTCCTCATCTATCTCTTTCTGTTTATTTTCTCACTGTTATCGCTGTTTGTTATGCGGATGATCTTTCTGATAATTGTTGTTACTTTTGATAATTGGGAATTATAAGCAGCATTGAGTAAATATGGTAAGCGCTTATTTTATCAATGAATGCTGACTAGGAGAATCACAATTAGTTTTCTAATAGTTTATTTTAGATATCTTGACGTCAATGTTCACATTTTCTTGTCTGAACCTATTGAAATTTTCAAATGTCATTAATTATAGAACAGAAAAGGAATGGTAAAGTCACCGAAAACGTCATCCAACAAAAAGTCATTTTCGTCACTTAACAAAAAGTCATCCAGCAAAAGTCCGCGAAGAAAGGATTCCACTGTGGCGCGAGGTCAGTCCCGGAAAACGTCACGTTCTAGTAGTCGTAGCCGCAGTATTCATAGTACACCTCGTTCACGTTCCAGTTCCCGCGGTCGTGGTTCATTTTCGAGAAAGAAAACAATTTCCCCAGTGGTGAAGAAATTCGACGACTCAGCAGTGAAAAAAATTGTCCCTTTATACTATAGTCCCAAAAATAATTCGAGTTACAAAACGTTTCCATTTACGGATAAGGGCATACAACGACCTGTTCCGACAATGCGTTTACTGCAACCGATGAATGTGAACAACTTGAAGATCAAAGGAGTAAAGCTTAAGCGACGTCTTTATGCTCATTGCAAGCGATTGTCGCGTTTCTATATCATCACGGCAGTCCTTGTATTAATCGGGCTGGGAATCTTCTACACTGGTTATACCATAGATCAGATGGCGAAATACGCTCGTAAACATATCGATTTTGTTACAACATATGTGAAAAAACGTGATTGAGGAAGATGTGTTGTACATCATTGATACCGTCAGTATTGTGTAGGCTTGGTAATTCAGCCTAGATGACAGCGAATTCTTTCGAAATATTAATTAAATATGCTTTAAACTAATTTACCGTTTGCTAAAAATGCAGTGATAAGAGGGTATTTTGAGAGATTTCAATAATTTTCAGAGTGTTTTAGTAACGAATAACACGAATATCATTGGTGTGAAAGGTCCTTTTGTTACAGAATCTCTCCGTTTTGCCATTTTTCTACTGATTAGCATAGATGAATTAATTAGATTCAAAATTCATACTTTTTTTTCTAATAGCTTCGAGATATATTGCAACGTACTCTTTGTTTGATAAGTTAACTCGTTTTTTTTTTAACTTTGGGAAAACAACAAAAAGAAATGGTTAGAAATGTGATCATTGTTGATTCACTATTAACAGTACCCGAACACCCATTGCATTTGATTTCTTTTTTTCTTTTGCAAGTTCTGAAATTTTATAATCATATGTTGTTCTTTGAAAAGCCTGCAACCATATTACACATTGAATGTTTTTCTTATAACTAATTCCTTGTTTGAGAAATTTTTAAATTTCCGTTTCTAATTTTAATCCTGTTAGCTGGCAGTATTTTGTAATATTTACATTCATTTCAGGGAAGTTTTCGTAATTTTTTTTCTACTCAACTACTCAGGTATTGCTTTATTGTGTTTTTCATTCTTTTTAGAATCTACCAGACGAACCTCAGGGATGTGTATAGCTTTTATTGAATTAATAAAAAATTTTTTTTAGAATCGGTGTAAATATTAGTGTAAAAATGATCTTTTATTTCGATTTATCAGTCAGTTTGTTGGTCAATCAATTTATCGTAACGAGCTGGAAAAAAAAATAGTTTTCTATTATTTGTATTTTCTTGTTTTTTATTATAAGTGAAATTATTAACTATAAAAAAATAAATGAAGAATGATTTTCCAGTGAATTATTTTTCTTATCTTCCTTCTTAATTTCCAAAATTTTCCTTCCCTTTCACTTTTCTATCCTTTTAACTTGAACTTTGCTATAAGTGTAATTTTTGTTATTTTATATCTTTTCAAAGATATTTTTTAAGAACGATTTTGAAATTTGCGATTGGTTAATGCCTCAATGTGTACATAGTCACACTGAAAAAAGTCATTGTCCGACTGTGATTTTCTTCAGTCAATTTTTTATTTTATTTTCCAATTTCTCAAATCCAAGTCTAACCGACCACATAATTATGTATAACTTTACGGCAAATTTGTTTTAAAAATTTTTCGACAAATCAAGACTGAAATTTCTGCTGTATCTTAACTTTCTGTCTTCCTGTCTCTAATTGATAATGATTTTCCACATAGAAAGTAAATTTTTAGCTGGAATAGTTCCAAGATTAAGAAGTTGTTGATGCACATCGGTGACACTGTTTAGCAAAATAAAATAAAAAACAAGCAAAGTGTTGTTTTTTTTATTTTTTTTTTATTCTAATATTTCTTTAAAATATGTCATCGAACACCAGCATTTATCTCTTTATGGCTTTCGCATAAATCTCTTGATGTGTATATAAACATGGTCGGTTTTGTTTACTATTTTTTCTTAAAGGCGTTCTTTGGTGCTTTAATGGCAATCATTTATTTCCTCTTTTCAGTAAGGCTTTATGACTGTAAAAATGTCGGACAATCCACCACGCTGCATTCATGCGATATGATGTATTTAATACTTCTTAATCTTCCTTAACAGATTTCATTTATACTTTTTTTTTTTTTTAAAAATGAAGTTAAATTTCTTTTTTTACTATCCTCATTCATTCATCTTATTTGTGTAATGTTTATGCTATCGAATAAACTTTTAATGAACATTTTATTCCATATTACACTGAAAATTTTCCTGGTTTTTGCAGAATAGATTTACGAAACTTAAAAAATTTGCCATGCATCTGAGGGACCAGTTTGAAAATTTGATATTGCTGAATACAATTGAATTACTTTGTTTAGTAGCAAGACACTATAAGATATATGTTGTCTCGTAAGATAGTGAAAATAGTTAACTTAGTAATTATGAGAGCACAATTTTATAGCGCAAAAAGAAACCACAATGTTCCGTAACCGGAGAGAAGCACAATTAAATTATTACTATTAATATTGTGCTATAGTGAAATATCGCAGCAGAATTTTCAATGGTTAAAAAAAAATTGTTCACGAACATCTTTCTCTAATTATCCAAATCAATTTTCAACATCTAACTGTGGATAAATCTCGAATAAGTGTTATTGTAAGCTTTTGTTAAACAATCATTACCATGAAGGTAGCACGGAATCATTAACAGAAACGAAATACTTAGATAGTTATTTTGTTTATTCAATTAATAAACATAAAAGAAAAATTTAAATTTAACTATAAATTAAAAATAAGAATGGATAGCATATTGTAAATTAAAAAGGGAAGAGCAAAATTAACGTAGGAAGATGTCCATGATTTAATTTTTACATTTGTGAAACAACTTCAGCTATTGGCAGTGAATTAATTGAAAAATTATCACAATACGTAAGTTTCTTCTAAAAAGTATTTGCTAATTTAAAATCTTCATATGAAGATTATTGAAACTATCATACTTTCAAGTTGAAAAAATTGATCAAAATTATTAACAATACAGTAGTTTAAATGAGGGTGAATAGGATCAGTTGGATACAAAATAAAAATGATTTTCAGATCTAATATTTAAGCAGGGTGAACGTAGTGGTAACTTAAATAAGACATCAAGTAACAGGAATTATTATTTCAAAGCGTATCATTGTAGTGATAGTTATCAGTTGAGACAACATGATCAAATTGCAAATTACAGGAATAGAAAGTTGAAATTTTAATAAATAAATAATCAGCTTGTGTGAAATGATCAAAAAAAGCAAATATTAGTCTTTCATACCACTTCAGGACTTGATTTTTGACCAACATCTTTGAATTAAACAATCCAACTGAAAGTTTCATCATTGATGTCATAAAGAAGAGAGGAAGCAAAACTGAAGGTTAGTATTTATTCGAAAATAATGTGTACTTCACTTTAGAATTTCACTGTAGGCATCGAAAAATTTTTCGTATTTTCAAATGGAAATGAAGGGAAGATAAAGTGATGAAAAGTATTGAAAATACAACCAGTCAAACTTTGCATTTTTGGATCTTGAACTGAGAAATATGAGATATTCGCCATATGAGCCTAATATTCAGGCTTAAACTTATATACAGCATTATCGCAGGGTCTTTTTTCCATAAATAATTTTTAAAATTTGCCTTTTCCTCATCTCTTAACAAATACTGACAGCGTAAGATGACTTACCTGGCTTGTTTCACTTATCATAACTAGTTTACAAATTGTCTCAGCATGAAATATCAGTAGAAATAATAAATCAAGTTACGGATATATTTGATCTTTAAGTTAATCAAGCTTTACTAGATCAAGAAAAGCCTTTGATTAAAATCATAGGGTTTCGTTGTAAGCAAATAATAAATTTAAATAAAAGTAGCTGGGAAGGATTAAAGAGAAAATGGGGAAAGTGACGAGAGGCAGTAACAGCAACTAACACTCAGGCCGGGACGAGTGCAATATCGCCAAATGGTGAACTTCTGTCTGAATAGTGCAAACGACTCGACCTGACTGATTAGTGCAGTGTGGTCATTATAACCAATCCATGATCATTAGCAGTATCGAATGATGACAACCATTCGAAAATTACTGCAATTACACGAAATAACAGATATTACTGCTTTGGAGTAAAGCGATAATAACTACCGAGCAATATGCGAAAAAAAGAGCATTTTAGAATTCGGCTGTCGTGAAAGAATTTTGCTAGAATTTGTGGAGACGGATTAAATGAATGAAAAACAATGGGAAGATAGTAGTAGTAGTAGTAGTAATAGTAGTTTAGAAGCATAAAAAAATTATATTCAATCAACTTGACATCTTTAAATAACAGACTGCAATTATTAACATTATTATAATGTGTAACTGTTTTCTTCCCATTAATAATCACAATTTAGCTATTAAAATATTTCATTTTCACGGATTTTTTCATACCGCAAAATTTTTAAAACTTATAGAAAAATGGTCAAAATGATTTTTTTCCCCTTTATCAAGTTTTTTTTCAGTATATAAAATTAAGAATCTTTTTCATTTGAAACTTTCATCATTTTTGATGAAAGAAATCTCAAAAGGATCCAAGAAATCTCAAAAGGATCCAAGAAATCTCAAAAGGATCCAAGAAATCTTCAAGCCAAATTTACAAATCTCATTGCTAAATATCATCAAAAATGTGCTTCTTCCAAAAAAAGCACAGAACATAGCAATGAAAAAGCAGAATTATAATCTTTTTTATTGGTGTATTTTATTCAAATATGATTGTGTCATTTTCCAGCTGGAAATTACGGAAAACTTTCACTAGTTTTTTTCGATATTCTAATTCCTAGCGATTTCCGATTTGGTAAAAGATTTAGGAATAAAATGAATGCTGTAAACTATATTTCCATTACTCGAAATATTGATTTCAGCTTATTGAAAAGGCATTACTAGGCTTTTACATTTTTCTCTATTTTCATTAGCCCCATTTCATCAGCAGTAATGCTTTCATTGCTTTTGGTTTTTTTCTCTTTTTGTAAATAGATTAGAACGATATAACAATTTTACTTTACTTTTTTATCATTTGACTAAATTCCTGTGTCTTTAACCTAACCTAATATAAGTCCTAAGAAAAAAGGAACAAAGTGTTTACTTTTTAAGCTTAAAATTTCATTTTTCATTTCATCGTAAAATACCTTCTTTGATATGTTATCATTGACAAATAAAAACCTCTTATTATTTTACACTAACCAAATGGATATAAGAAAAAGCCAAGCAATCAATTCATCAATAACCTAACAAATGATAATATACATGTCCAACCATACTGATAACAGTAGGAGTAATAGTAATAGTAAAATATAATAGTAATAGTGACAGTATCGTACTGTGT